CAGCCCCACTGGCTGTAGAAGCTGGCTAAGAAACACCTTCTGCAAGCGCCGACACATGGCAGCGGGGTGCATATTTCGACAGCTAGGCGATCGGACGCATAGCAACGAAGTCGCACTGGGCTATCTGGTTATAGTCAGTGACGCCCTGACGTAACACCTGGCAACCGAAGATCGGCGGCGACGCCCCCTTCGGCAATTTCGGCGCCGCGCAGTGGGGGACGGCGAGTGTTTCACTGGGGCGCGTGCTAACCCACCCGGCCTGGTTCACGCCCCTCCGCGACGACAGTCCCGGGGTTTGCAATTACAAAACAATACCCACCTCGGTTGCTAGGTGTTACGTCACGCCTTCGCTCTCTACAACCAGCCAATCCTGTGCGGCCGCCGATGCTTTGCGTCCTACCGCCTAGCCTCTCGAAATAAGCGGCCGAGGTGCGGGTGCGCGCTTTGGACGCCCTCGGAAGCTCCTGCCGCCGGCTTTGAAGACCTGTAAACGCACACGGGCTGCGGTTCTGGACTGCAGCCTGCCACGCCGTTCTTTACCGGCAGTTATACATGTCACCGGCTCATAAGCGCACGGTGTCGTCGCCCCTGTATGCAAAGCATGTATGCAAAACAACGAAATGGCTCTGTCTTTTTTTGTGAAACGAGCGCATGTCCTTCATGCACACGTCAAGTGATCTGATCTGCTTGCGCTAGGGAGAAAAGGGGTGTCATTAAAGGGGTCATGAAACTATTTTCCTACTTCTTCCTCCTTAGCTTTAATCCTCAACTCAAATGCGAATTGCGAAATCACGTCGTCGTGACATTCCTTCGGCACCGGTGCGATGACTCCTAGGTTCCACCGTGCTTTTTATGCACACCATAGAACTTGTCATTCCCCAGTGACAATAAGTTCCGTCAGGGCATTCATTGGCCTCGAGCGCGAATCCAAATATTCGTCGACGGATTGATTGTTGACGAGCGCATACGTCCGAGTGACGCAGTTCTCGTGCCCAATGCGTGAGCTGAGCTCTGCTGACGTCAGTTTGGCGCCGGTGACGCGCTTTTGGAACCGCGGATGTATCACAGTGAAAAGGTGGAGAGCTTTTGAAGGCAAGAAGGTACAAAATAGTCCTCAATATTTTCAAATGTTCGTACCGAAAAGCTGGCTTTTGACTTTCTAGCCTCTTTCTTTTGGCCAACTAAACGATATGTGATTAGTAAAGTCCCAATTTAAAATCATTCATCCCAACCCAAAATTTGTTTCATGGCCCCTTTAATGTTCACCTCGCGGAGAAGTCCTGACAGGCTGCATTCACCATGCTTTGTTATATATAACGGCTGCGCTAAGTGCTAACACATTTCTTCGAGAATCAGCATGGCGGCAGCCACGATTTCGGAACATATATATAATTTTTTTTTCTACGATATTTAGATTAGTGGAAGGTAGCGTAGATTCCACAGTGCTGCAGCCCTAAACTGTGGCGAGAGTACGTGTGGTTTCGTCTTGCGTCTCATTCGCGCGCGCCCTTGTACGAAGGAGACGCCAAACTAGGCCACGCAATTTAGCAAGTCGCTTTGACAGCGTTGGATCACTGTGGAAATCATATGCTTGCCTTGACAACGCGTCCCCAAACCGTTGACGCGCAGTATAAACTAAGGTGTAGTGCATTCTATACAGAACCCGCGTCGTTGATAGCTATACTCACACACTCATGAAGTAAAGTATAGTAGACTCATTCACCTAACTTCAACCAAAAAAGAAATATAATTTTACAGTGATTTACACCTTCAAACACATTTATTTTATTAGAAAGCCTTAATATATCCCTTTGTTTTCGATTGCCCGGAGATTCTTTAACATTATGTAGGAAATAGCGCAAAATTAGACTCACACTGAAAATACACCCAACACCGGGAAAAAGATCACTCACGTTGCGCTAACTTACAACTCAGTTTGTATTTTCGTCTTCCTTTTTCTTTTACCTAAATTAAAGTTGATAATATCTCGCTTCGTTGTCCTCTGTACCAAACGTAAGACAATGTCTGTCACACGAGTGTCAAGATATAACAACTATTCTTCAGTTAGTGTAATAGACGGAGTGCTAACACAAGTATCACTCATTTTCATGATGTTAGCTGCCTCAATGATCTCACGTGTTAATTGGTGATAGTTTTTTTTTTTTCAATTAAGGTACTATTTTCGAAATCAGCAGTGCACCCACAGTCACGGCAGTGAATGCCCAAAGTCCTGAGTTAGCTATTCGGGTGTTGTTGTTATGTTCTCTTAATCTGTCATTTACACGTCTCACAGTTTATCCGATGTACTGATGGCCGCATGAAAGGAGAAAGGAATAAACCACTCCTTCTGAGCAATGGATATATGGGGTTCTCTTCTTTTTTGTGCAGCATGTAATAGTTTTGGTAAGGCGTTAACTTCTCTTACATAAACCTGAAAGTTTGTTGGGAATTGAAAAGACTACATTGATATTTGCGCGACTGCATTGGATCCTGCATTGCGCCGATTCTCAGTGATCTATTCCTCACGTACCACAACAGACGTACTGCTTCAAAAGAGCTTAGATTCCTCGACTGCGGAAAAGGCGCTTCGCTATGTCGATGACCATTTGGTACTCCTAGACACCAACGAAAAGGACCTCCCGATTCATGTGCCCAAAGTGCTCGTCAAGTTTAAAACATGTTTAGACTCTCTAAAGATCACACTTGAGCTTCCAGAGCTAGGATCCTTAAAATTTCTAGGCCTAAGATTGTCTCTTCAGCCCCGTCATTTCTGTTGGTAGTATGATCCGAGAGGAAAAAAACCACTCCTCAATTATATTTCGGCGAATTGAAAACTGTCAAAGAGAGGCATAGCAAGTCAGTGCTTAAAAATCTATATTTTCTAGCCATCCCGCATTCAGGCCTAACAAGCTTCGCAGGACAAGTATCTAGGATACTAAGTGCGGGATATGCTTTACATCTATTAAGTTTTGTCGCCGAGAGTTTCCTTAAACAGATTAAAAAAGCTTAAACCACTCCCTGCCAGTCACGCGAAAGAAGCAGTAACCAAAGACCGGTTGTCATCCCCTATATTCATAAAATTTATCATACCTTAACTATATTGGAAACCGCGCAAATATCGATGTAGTCTTTTCAGCCCCCAACAAACTCTCAGGTTTATGTAAAAACGTTAACGCCTTACCAAGACTATTACAGGCTGCACAAAAAAGCATAGAACCCCATACATCCCTTGCTCAGAAGGAGTGGTTTATTCCTTTCGCCTTTCATGCCGCAAACAGTACATGGAACAAACTGTGTGATATGTAAATGACAGATTAAGATAACATAACAACACCCGAACAGCTAAGTCAGGACTTTTGGACATTCGCTGCCGTGACTGTGGGTGCACTGCCTACTTCAAAAATAGCATCGTAATTGGAAAGAACTATCACCAATTAACACGTGAGATCATTGAGGCAGCTAAAGTCATGAAAGTGAGTGATACTTGTGTTAGTAGTCCGTCTATTACGCTTACTGAAAAATAGTTATTATAACTTGACGCTCGAGGGTAATATGTGTGATGGACATTGCCATATGTTTGGTACAGAAGACAGCGAAGCGAGATATAATCAAATTTTATACGGGTAAAAGAAAAAGGAAGAAGACGAAAATACAAACTGAGTTGTAAGTTAGCGCGACGTGAATGATCTTTTTTCCGGTGTGCGTGTATTGTCAGTGCGACTGAGTTTAATTTCGCGCTATTTCCTACATGATGAATACCCAACTGGCCCAAGCATCCATCCTAAGACGTTTCTTTGGCATTATTTTTGCACCGAGGCGCGCCAACCGACCAATGACCGTCTGCACGAAGGTTTTTCACGTAATGTTTCCACGGAGGACCGCCAACCAACTGACGACCGTCAAGTCATCCAACTCCGTCCTGACTTCCCCCATTCCACTTTTTATTTTCCCCATATTTCTATCAATCTAGTAAAATATCAAATGAATCGTGACCAGGGTCCACTTGTCACCTGCAATATGGCCCTACTCGACACCTCCGAATGAGGATTGCTGTGAGCGAGTATTCGCTCGCCAAACTGCGCTCGTCAGCTCGACGAAATGTGGCCGTCAGCAGCGCTCAGCTTATCCCTCCAAATCCGCCGACTGCTCGCGAACAGCGTGCCTTCCTCCCGCTTTCCGGGCGGCGCAGCCGCGCAGAAAGGGCCCGAAGCGAGAAGACAAAAGCGACCGAGTCCCGTCCTTGGGGCAATCTCATTTCCTCCGCGTGTCCCCACTGAGTTAACAGCGGTGTGCTCCCACGATACCGTTATCGGTGCGTTTCGGGGCTATTTCGACGTCGTACAAAAAAAGGAGACGCTGCCGCGATCGAAGGACGACAGTGCGCGAGACAGCCGAAAGACGCGAGGGCGCCATCTGCGGGTCACGCGATTAAAGAGACCAAAACGCGGGCCAGAAGGGCAGCTGAAAAGAGGCAGCGCGGCCGAGCGTGCCCCCGCGTCCCGGCGCCTGTTCCGCAAACAAAGTTGGTCCCCGTTCGGGACGCGCGAGTGCCGCAACGTCGGCCGTCCCTCAAATTCCCGATCCCCAGGGCGCCGGCCCTCCGGCTCCGGCCAGGGAGCATCACATGTTGAATGGGGAACAGGGAGGCCGGCTGGCCCACGGGCGCCGGGAGAGGGAGCGCAAAGGGAGCGAGGAGAAGAAAAAGCGCCGTGACGCGTGCACATTCGCCCAGTGCGCAGGCGCAGTACCAGTTGCGCGCGCTCCTGCTCGCGCGCGCGCACAGAGACCCAGCCGCGGTGGCAGCACTGGCGCCGGCATTGGCGGGACTGCGCTCCGTTCGCCTGGCAACCATGGGGTAGTTGTTGCGCTCGAGACCACTGCGCTGGGCTGGGAAAAATGAAGAGCGAAAGTTAATAGACGCCACGGGGAATCGACGACGAGGAAGACGAGCCAGCAAACCCGGCGCGCACGAGCCCCCACGAGCTCGAACAGATAGCAAGATGCCACGTTCCTTCCTGGTCAAGAAAGTCAAGTACCCGGTGGTGAACCACCACTCCGGCGGCGGTCCCCGCTGGTACCGCGAGCCGTCCAGTCCGACCGAGGCCTCACCGGTGCCCAGCCCGCAGCCGAGCTCGCCCAGCCGCGGCGGAGATGCCGTCCCAGCCTACGGTGAGTACCCGGGCCCGTTCGAAGCACACGGGGCCGAACGCCAGCCCCTAGTCGAGCGCGCGTGACCGGCCCGCGACAGCGCCTCGTTTCCCACGGCATCCAGCAATGTTGCTTTCCCGATCCGGAAAGGAACAGTGCCCGTGCCCACCTGAGGCTGGCGAGCCGACGCTAGAGTCCTGCGATGCACGTGAGAGCAACAGGGTGTCGGCGCTCTCCCTCAAGGCGGACGGAGCCCGGGCAGCGTGTGGGCGCCACAAGTTCCCGCTTCCGTGCCACGCTTCGAAAGGCGCTTTCAAAGGCCCCGACACGCGTGTCAATACTCGTGTATTTTGATCCGTTCGATATTCGCGGCACTCCGCGTGCATGACCCAGGTGTGCAGCGCGGGAAAGACGCAACAGGTCTCGTTTCATTCCCCAGGAGGCGATGCCTCCTGTTGCGTTTTTGCCTTCGCACGGCGACGGGCGCGAGGCGGTAATACTTCGCCTTGTACCGTTTCGTATTCGTTGCGTTCGTTTCGAACATAATATAAGACGCGAGAAGCTGTAAACTTACCAAATTGATACGGAATCGGCCAGCATGGATTACGCTTCTTTATAAGATTACCTTCGTTTCGTTTGCGAGACATCTCCCACTCCGTATTTGAACTGTAATGTGCAGTTCTGACGTAGCCTGATGATGCCGCATTTGGTCACGTGTGCATGACTTATGATCTTATTATACTGGTAACTCGCGTTATGGCAATTCGTACATTCTTTTGAAATAAGATGGAAACACTATACAGTACTACAGATCAAGCCCGAATACTCAAAGTGTAGGACAAATGTTCAAAGTGCTCAGTTTATTTGTAATTTTGAAGCGTTAAGATTTCATGACTTGTAAAGAAAAAAAAAACTGTCGCTTACTGTTTACTCACTATTTTAAAATAACCCCACGGGGGTCGATCCTAAACTTTCGAACAAATAATCAGCTGCTAAATATATTCAAAAAGAATTCTCTTGAGAGAGTAACGATATATATAAAAGACGCTAGATGTAACGCCCCGTAACTACCGACGGGAGGTGGGGATGAATGTTTGGGTGGGCGGAGGCGGCACATGTGAGGCTAATGTGTGGACCTGCCTTGAGATGATCTGGAGGGCTAGTTGGTTGTCTATGTGCAAGGCTAATGTGTGTACCTGCATGAAGATGATCTGCCGGCTAGTCTGTTGTGTGGACCATCAAGTGCCTGCATATCTAGTCTCCCACACAACTCAGTTAAGAGAAACATTGCGTGAGCCTCTCCTGCGTTGTGTGTGGTTTGTGGTTGTAAATCTATATTGCAGTAATACGTTTTGAAAATACGCAAGTTTATACTGTTTTCCTGTATGCAACCATTCGACTCGTAATCAATCCCAGCCATTGGCGGGATTCGTGTGTATTTTGTAGTCATGAGCAGCGCAAGAAACGCGTCGCGTTCATTCCCAAACCCCTGAACTTTACTTAGCAGCATATAAGGTTGAAGCATCACTCCGTAAGAGCTACATGAAAGACAAAGTGGAGTTCGGAACATCGTTATCAATAACCTCTATGCGGCTCATTTCAGCGAAGATAAGATTTTTGGGCCAAACATGCAACTGGAAATTATCCCTCAATATGCCCCTATGGTGGGCACTGGGCCGCTACAGCCGGTAGGTGACGTTCTCAAGAGAAGGTCTTGTCTCATTATGTGGAGTGTATTGCCTGCTGCGGAGAATCAGAAGGCTTGTTTTAGCTGTCCACATATCGTAAGACCTCCTGGAGAGTACGCGTGAGATGTTCAGGCGTTCGATTGTCGAACGCAGCACGTTCGACAAAAGCGGCACGCGCAGAGCCAAACACTGTGGTCTATGAGAGAAAGCTATAAGGACTATTCACTGGGCGCCATATTTGTGGGTGCTGTCTAGAGCGCATGGTCAGAACGAGCTCACATTAATGGGCTGCTAAGACCGGCAATCTTGAGGGTGCAGAATGCACGTTACAAAAGAACTGTGGAATCTCGCCATCAGCACGCGCTCAGCAGTCGCGCACACAGCTGTGGCCGCCAGTGAATACTTCCTATAGCAAATGAATAAATGCCTTTTGTCGTTGTTCAGCACGCGTTTTTGTTTGCCAGAGTCACTGAGAGCGTGAGAAACGCGAGTTCTTGCGATTCCCGAGCATTTTATTCCTGCTCCGTAAACAATTCGATTGCTCTATTACAACATAAGAACGCCGAGGAACAAAAACACGAAACAACACGCGTGGCCATGAGTTTCTTAAGATGCCGGGGACAATACGGGTAGAAACTGAGGGAGAGGAGGAGACGAGAGCGTGCGGGGACGTTGGAACACCGAGCTCGGGTTATAATGATTAGCGGGTGGACGCCAAGCTGACTGCCTTTGTCTCCACTGCACTGTTCGCACGCGTTCGAACACCAGACGCCGGAGTTCGGCTTTCGAACGGGCTTGAAGATTTAGTAAAGACAAAGGCAGCTAGCTTTGCGTGTATACCACCCACTAATCATCCCAACCAGAGCTCGGTGTTCCGACGTCCCCGCGTGGTCTCATCTTCCTCCTCGTCTCCAGCAATTTATACCCGTATACCTTTCTTTCGTGGACGGCATTTTTTTTTTCTGGAACAAGGAGTTCAGTCTAACATTGTACGACTACAGTCAACAATGGCACACCAACACCATGAAACGTCGTGCTGGAAGGGGTACGGAAACGAATATCGAAATATTCAAATTTCGGTCCCAAATGAGTCAATCATGACTGTTTATAACCGCAAATGATAATTGCAGGTTTGCATTTTGAACAACTGGCTCTATTTTTCGTTCCAAACGGTTCACTCTAGTAAGCGCTCGAAGAGAAGCGAACGGAGGGCACCGATGCGTCATAAAATATCCGGCAAAAAAAAAAAAGGTCCTTGCATTTGTGACGTAGCAAGGCTGGCGTGGTTATGAGCTTTGCCGTTGGTGGTGTTGTTAGCGTTGTGGTGGCGTCAACAGCGTCACCGTGTTACAACCGAGCCGTTCGAAGTACCCGTGGGGTGACGAGCGATTCACGTGTGAGATCAGTCGAGCGCGTCATGTTCGCGTGGCTCACTCCAATGGCGCTTCAGGACGATTTTCCCGGGAACATACACTTGAACGGCACAAGTGAGGATGAGGACACCGACACCGCCCTCTCTGTATTCATTTCGGAAAGCGAGCAGCAGGCGTCAGAACCCACGTGGGAAACGACGTTCGTGCGAGCCGGATCCACATAGCACGAAGTTTCTCGTCGTTCGGAAACGTGTTGAATTGAATTGAAGTTTATTTGACATATGAAATGTCGGGGAGGGAGGAGCAAAAGGTTGCCGAAGCTACCTGACGAGGCTCCATTCCCCTTTTCGGCGCTACAGCAGTCGCAGCAGCAGTGTGCAAGTCATATATAGAAAATTCAAGGTGAAATTAGCATATCGCTGTTGACCAACTCGTTACCACAGTTCTCAGTCATGCAGAAACGCGGCGGCATCTCGACGTCAAAAAGCGCAGAACGGCTTCGAATTGTAGAGCAAAGTCACAGGAACAACTCTGCGACATTCCTCAATAAGTCCATCATGGCATCTCGTTGGCTTCCTCAGCAAAGGGGCGAAGCGCGCGAGCCAACGTTGGCACGGGCAAAGGCTTCGCAATCGCGTTCAGGCCGAGGTAACTTAAAACAGTTGAACGCACTCCCAAAGAGCGGCGCTGCTCTGATGTTTAGTGCGGCTACGTAACGGTTCCTGCTACGTGATGACTAGGTAGCAAGATTCCCAACCTTGCTAAATTACCTCCCAACTAAGATTCACAGGCATCCAACAGGTGAACATTGAAAGATCGTTTCATTAGCTTTAAATGTGGTTTTCTTGCGCCTTCCAACCAAAGAGGGGTTTTTTAGAGTTCAGGGTGGGCAACATGCAACACATATAAGCTAGAAAATGAGCGCTGGAATTACGTTTCCCTACCCCTTTAATACCGCCGCGCAGATAGTATCTTCTGGAATCGAAGCAATATCTTCAACTTGTAATTCTATTATAAGGCGTGAAAGTTGGTCTTCTCCTTGCGCACCTCGTGGATTTGTTTACCCTCTAAATGCGCTCACGTGATTTTGTTCCTCCCCGACTTTAACCAGTGACGACGTGCGCCTGCCCGCAGGGAATGCGCCCCGTCATGGCGCATCCCCTGCTTGTTCTCTCTGTTACCCTTTCATTAGCGTTCCGATGCACAAAGCACGAACGTTGTAACACTTGCGCGCCGTGCATAATTACACCTTTGTCAATCTCCGAAATGGCTGCGCTATCAACTCGGAACACCGATCACGGTGAGAGGTATTGTGGTTTAATGGTAATGCAGTTTCAGTGCCAAATTTGTTGATGAGTTTTGCCGCTGAAACTGCACTGTCATTGGACCGTGATACCACTCGCCCTCGTCAGTGGTAGAGCCGATTGAAGGAAGATCACTTCGAGAGTCATGACAAAAAAGCACACGGAAAGGCATTTCTGAAAGTAGATCCATTCAGAATGTACCTGTAGTGAGGCTCGCCCATACGCCACTCGCAGGTTGTTCTGGCTTTACCAGAAGATACGATTCTAACTCCTTGTCAACCTTACAAAAAAAAATTGTTACGTGTACGCACTACGAAAGCCGCGCATACAACTAGGAACACAAAGCACAATTTCTTAATCCTTGCAAATGTATAAAACTGTGAAACTAACCTTTTTGTCAGCCACGTCGACTGAGGTACACCTCAGGGGTTCAGTTTGGAAAATAAAAAATGATTGATTAAAAAGTAATAGCGAGGAAATTTCCCAACTAGATATGAAAAATTAATCTTTCTTGTGGTTGCAGAAATTATGAACACCTTCAAGAGCGGCGAGCGTGGTTATCTTTGACAGGCGATTCTGCGTTTTAGACCTTTTGTATGCATCTGTATAAATCACGTCGAAGTGATCATTAACGGTGAAACCACACAGACGTAATT